TTGCGGTTTAAAACTGTCTGTTCATAAATTAATTAAACTTTATATTTAAATATTCAAATCAAATGTCAGGAAGTGATCACAAAAGTGATAGCATAGGCATTAGGCGTAGGTGTGGGCCGGGTATTAAGGGTATAAGACTTAGTCTACTAACTATTCAAACGTCTAATATCTGGCTATAAAACTACTGGAAAACCATAACAATATCGTAATGAATTCAATACAAATAAAATCTAAATGAATAACTAATATAATAATATACAAAAAAAAGTCGGCAAAAAGTTCAACTCATGGAAAGCCGTTTTTTGGGTACAGACACGTATGGCAACTAAATTAACAAATAAAATAATAATATTTTAAAAACTTTTGAAAATCTAATTAATAAATGAGACACAGAAAAAACACAATGAAATATACAAAACGATGCGCTAATGAAATAAAAACAATTCAAAAATAATAAAAAATAAAATATAACTGGCAATAAAAATACATAAATATTTTCAAAAATACCCCCAAAACTAAGCAGCAACAAAAATGCTATTAACCTTTTAATGAAAATTCGCGTGTTTTATATTAATTTGCACACAAATTTATGATTAAAATTAATTATCGCACAATAAAACAACAACAAAAACACAAATGTCTCGAAATATCAATTAATTCAGTCATTCATTCATTAAGAGATATGGGATTCACATAACAAATGCATTAATAATAATGAACTGAATTTAAACACACCGTTCATACACTGGTCATTAAAACACTATAAAAAATATAATACAAAACAATATTTATATAAATGAATGCCAATTATAAGCGAAAAAAACTAATCAAAAAAATCCTTTTAAACAGTTCATTGAGTGTTAGAAAAGTAAAAACAAAAAAGTTTTGTAAGTTTAAAAATACAAATAAAATAAATAAAAACTAAAAACAGTTCCCAAACAGTAAAGGGGGTGTGAAATAAGGGGTCCTTTTGTTAGGGCACTGATTATAAGCCGTTAATCAATGGTTTCAGACACTTATCGGTGAATCAGTTATCATAATATTTATCATAAAAATTAGTTACTAATTGAATAATAGTGAGCACATCCCTGTCTACCAATCCATTAATCAATTAGTCGCCAATAATTAGGTCGACATCTCGGCCTGACATATAGGGACAGGTATGGGATGGGCTATGATATCGGCTATAAAGTCAACCCTTATTTGATGAAATTGTTGTCAAAAAATCAATTAAAACTTAAAAATACTGTCAAACAAAAAGCAATCTATTAATCAAACTATTAATTAGTCACTGATTTTGTGACAATGTTTTGCAACACGAAAATAATTAGTATTTTAAATAAAAACTAAAAACTTTTGATTCAAAGTATAAATAATAATAAACACAAAATCAATGATTAATTAAACACTGAATCAAACAAAATGAGCTCAAAATCGGAAATATTTTGCATCAAGTGTTGGGAGAAAAGCCATTGAAATGAACGACACTTTCGATGATAATAATTAACCACAAAATACCTAATGATTGGATGTATTGCTGAGAGTCTGGTAATGGTTTGCGAGGCATCTGGTCACCAATTGGCGACAATTGTGGCACAAAATTATCGTTAAATCGCATCTCAGTGTCACTCGAGTGGACACAATGGGCGTCATCGGTGGCGCTGAGCCACGGATCCGATGGCCGATCACCAGAACTCCAGCGATCGCCGCTCATGATCTTCATGGGTGACCACGTGGTGGCCAATCGCCGCCAGTAATCGCTTAAATATAATCAATTTAAACACACAATTCAAACGTCAAGTGGTTTTTCACACGCAGTTTGTGTTTACATGTGATCTGTCAATACAAGCGAGAGTTTAGTTCACAAACGCAGTGACACTCAAAGTATATTAATTTCGGTGAACACCCCCTTCAGCTTCATGTTTCCGATTAAAACTTTGCTTGATAATTGGCGGAAATCAATAAATAGCAACTAATTGTAATAATTTTTCATTTTTTAGTGAGTTTATTAGATTTTAATTATCGAGATGTTTTCATATATTAATAAAAATAAACATAATTCACAACAAATATAATTTAGTGTATAAGAGATTGAAGTTATAAATGAATTACAATTACTTAGCAAATAGTTTTATAAAATTAAATATTAATCCATGGGATTGATCACTATATCACTAAAGTTAGTCTAGAATATATCGGTAATCAATTGGTTAGATAAACAGATCTAATCGTTCAATTTTACGGATCTCGAGGGTAACCAGTTTGCGAGATATAGCCATTAGGTGGTCGACCGCTGTTTTCTTAACTCTCAGATTGCCGTACAATCTAATGGACTGTATTTGAGGCAATAGTCTCAACGAAATCAATGTCTTATCAGTGATTTTCACGGGTTTCAGCGACAAGTGTTGAAGTTTGGGATGACTTCGTGCGATAGCAACGATAAGCCTATTATTGTCCACAGGAGATGACACCGCGTCCAGCGATAAGTGTATCAATCGTTTGCATCCATTCAACGATAGGCTCTTCGAAAATAATTCAAATTCGTGAAAATTTGCGGTAATTTTCAATCGCTTTATATGTGAAAAGTTTGTGTTAATTGTTTGAAAAAGCATTTCCAGGTTATGGTCACTAATGTGCCTTATATTCAGCGATAGGCTCTTAAGTTTGACTAAATTGATGCCAATTTGTTTCAACTGATTGTTGGACAACGCGTTGTCAAAGCATGTAATCTTCAGATCAATTAATGAACGCATTTGTGACAAACTGGTCACTAGTATAGCGATGGACCTCTCATCGCAACTTTCATCGATATTCACGTCAATTGATTTCAAGCCGTTCGGCGAATATTTGCCAATAAATAGCTGATAATCATAGGAATCTTCATTCGTGTAATGAAACGCCAATCCATTGAGTCTTTTGAATAATATCTCAAATGTGTCGCAAAACACTTGCCGTAGTGTTAGGTGTGGTCGGGAGGGGTGAGGCGTACGGCATAACTGTAGACACAACTGGACCCGCCATCGGTGGTCAACATCCCACTCATCATAGAGTTGGCTCAGTTTACTCGACATCCATGGACTCAATTGTGTGTATGGTTTGTAAGGCGACTCACTGACCACCTCATTGACCACAACCGGCGTTATTATGTCGTATATGTAGTAGCCATCCGTGGTATCTATATCTATCATTTCATGATTGTCATCGAGTGGTATATTAATGGCATTCAACGGATTGAGGTAGCATTTGGTGATTATCTCACAGAAAAATGAAATCTCTGACCTCAATATACGACAGATTTACACACTTATGAAGTATGCACTCAATAATTGTCTCAAATATTGTCGAGTACCGAGGACTTTGAAACTTCTTGTGGTACTTCTGGAAGTGTTTGTCAATCGTGAGCTCAGTTTGGGGTTTAAATATGACTCGTTGCCACTGTTTGGACACACATTCACACCGGAATCGGTCCTCGAATGACATGTAACTCAATAGGAGTTCACACAAATCATCACCGAATCGGTCCAAAGAGTCTTTCGCATAGACTTCTAACTCATCACTGGTTGACATAGTTTTGCAGTAATTAAATAATATTGAAATGTTAACGAATTTCAATTGATTTGAATAATATTATCTAAATAATCATAAAGTGAAATGCAAGTGAAATATAATCTGGTAGCACCAGTCTGGTACTATGAATATGTGTAGATTTATTTACATTAAGATCTTATATCTCACCAGTGTACGTATTTATCTAATACTTATTTAATAGCAAATGAGTCATACATTTAATAAATAACGAAAATTTATTGTCAATTTCTATGTATAATATTAAATAACAAGTTACTAATACGGATATCAATATAATAATTTATGAAATAAAATCTCAATTAAAATTAATTTCGCTATAATTCAGACATAAATCTAATAACAAATAATTAATATAAAATTTCAAATATAAGTTAATTATATCATAAAGTGGTTTCAAAAGTATACCCAAAAATTGTTGGAAGAATTGGTTTTTTGTACTAAACATACCGTGAGTTTAATTCAAATCAGTTAAAGTGAATGGGAATTAATACTGAGATTTAGTAAGTTTTGTTCACAAATATGCATAAAAACTCGTATATCATTAGTATTGAGATTATTGAGACAATTAGTCAATTCGTTAGTAAATGTAAGAAAATTATTATTTGTTTCTTTCACTTATGGGACAAATTCGTAAAAATATATAACTTTCTGTTTACTGTTAATATGAGATAATCTCATTGAGATTCACAAAACTATTTATGTATTAAATAAATTGTATATAACATACGATTGTCGGCACAAAAAATAACTATTAAACTAAACACTAATTTTAGGCAAACGTCAAAATATAATCAAAAAAAACAACAAACAAAAAATGAATTAAATAAATGCCATTATCTATAAGAATATGAGATTATTATATAATATATATGTTAATAATTACTGCAATAATAATAAGTAATAAATATTAAGAGACCGAAAAAATATATACTAAATCTAAAAATATTTTGCGAGTAATCAATGACTAAATCATCAGTTAATTAAAGCTTAAAAAGTGAATAAAATGTTTAAAAAATCTCTGGAAAACAATTCACTTGAAAACCGGTAATAATTTCATTGTATATATAAGTTATCAAACAATTGATTGCTTTAAGAGTCGCTATTATGACACACAGGACAGCGCCCGACGAGTGCGCCGACGAGTACTGCCGTCCATAGAGTCTCCATCGGAAAGGGAGATGCGGGCGGCCGTGGCTCTCGACGCCTGCAACCGCCTGTCCTCCTCGTCCGCCTTTTGAGTCCAGTCGACAATCTCTTCGCAATACATATTGAGACTCAACGAGAACTTAGTGCGAGCCCTCGTCCCCCTATACACCAGACCGCCGCTGTCGTAGCTGCCGGTGCTGTCCGAGTAGGACCTGGAATTAAACAAGTAGTTACTATATCGCAACAGTTGCGATATGTTTTGCACGTTTCGGGCGTTTTCCACACAGAAACTCAATTCCTCTGAGTTGAGCGCCACGTCCACCGTTATGTGTGTGTCCCCTGAGGTAGTGATAGGGAACGGGAGGTTTTAGTCAAGATTTCTAAGACAAATTACTTGCCAAAAACGTACTGTCAATGTCTCCCATTTTATGTCTGTATTGTATGCGAAACAGGAATGTCTCCAACACTAAGGCCACGACTATCGTAATGACCACTAGAGTCATGATATAGAATGACATGAAATAGAGTCGACTCCAGTCGCTGGTGACAGAGGCGTAGCCGTCCATCAGTATAAACCAATTGTTGACAACCATTAACTCAAATAAAGTCACTATAAAAATCAAA